CTTCTGCGTTCCCCCCCCCTGCCCGAAGATGATTTCAATGTGTCGCTCTTCGGCCTCTCTTGCTTCCCGTCATGTCCACGCGTGGCGATCAGAATGGAAGGAGGAATGGATGGCGCGGAAGGTACATACATGGCTCTGGGTTCTCGATCCCAGAAGACCACGGAGGGAAGGAACTTCACGACATATCTGAACCTTTCTACGGCTCCTAGCCTATGCTCTGACGTGTAAGCAAGGCGTCCCACCACTCTCCCCCGAATCCCTAAAGTGATTTCAAGTTGTGTAGGGGAAGCACAGAAGTCACTAGTCCCGCGGAACGAGGCGGAGCGGTCAAGGGAGATATCAAACGTTAGGCAAAGGGATTGGCATATCGTAAACGGAGTTGTGCGTGGTTCGCGGGCTCTCGCATCGTAACCCGACAACGGAACTCACGGAGTCCTTCAGCGAGTCGGAGTACCAATAAAGAGAGCGTGAGATATTTTTAGCAGAGAGCCTACTTCTGGGTACGTCAGCCGGCGGACACGCACCGCCCATACGTGGAACACGACACAATCCGAACAAGGGACATAGTAAACTCGGGCAAAACGGGTGGCGGCGATCTGAATGAATACGATATCTGCTCGAACGAAAATAAAAACTCATAAATGCGAATTCGCGTCCCCTCCATAAAGCTTGTTCTTGTCGATCTTATCGTGACGATTAATGGTAGACAACGTCAGCGACGACGACGCTTAGGGGGACGGCTCAAACAATGATGACAACAGTAATGACAGTGCATGCAAACATCCGCGTTCGCATGTGTAGAGATCCGCAAACAGCGCGGAGTTTGCCATGTCTGAAATGTCACGCCCCCCGATCGGGACTCGGAAGACGAGCATCCAATGGGAACGGATTGCGTCATAAGGAGCATAGGACTCCCGAGGCCAACGATCAGCGCGAGCGAATGAATCCCGCAGATTTAAGGTCACGGCAGGATTTTTGGTTCCGCGATGTTTCACGTAAATCTGTTCGAGAAGTATCGTCCACTCAATTAAATAAGATCAAACGTCTCTCCAAAACGCAAATTGAAGATCCAGAACATTCTCGTCGCGGCGACTACCATTCCCTTTCGCTTCGTAGCAACCATGTTCTTGATCTGCGGAGATAATTTCCGGTGAATTGGCGATTCCCGGAGGATTCATAGCGCATCCCGAATCCTGTCGGCCCCTTGTCTCCAGGCCGAGTCACTCTACAAGGTTTCGGCGAAAGGTTGATTTCCATTCTCCAATTCATGGCTTCATATCCATCTCATGTAATCAAATGATCCAGTCGACGCCCTGCAGCAAACAGACCGGAGGAGAAAACCGTCGCCTCCCAAGGCTCCTTAGTCAAGACCGGTGACTCAAGGATTTCCGATTCGAAACCTCTTGCAACTGATGAGATGTTCTCTGACAAACGCCGACATCGGGCAGTCATGCAGTATAACAATGTCTTTTGGGGAGGCCAGGGCATCCTCGAAATTCATGAGTGAGACCCATTCCAGAAGCTCCCTGTACATATGCCTGATACTGTGCATAAGGCCTGTCTCAGAGTCCGGCTTCTCTCGGAAGCTGCTCGAATGCTTCTTCTCATCGGCTAATGCACCTCGATGATAGCCAGAAATCTTAGCTACCTTGAATGGCTCTAGACTCTAGACGCATTAATTAGGCGGCTCCGAGGCTTCGCGAAAACGCTACTTGGGTAGCGGGCCGGCAGGTGTGTGTGGATTGAGGATGATAAATGATCATACGAAAGAAGAAGTTGATCTTTGATACGGCTGAGTCTCGTTGCACTGAGTACGAACACATTTTTCGCGTGCTGACTGCAGATAACGAGGCACAGCCAAGCTGTCAGTGAATCGTCGGGAATGCAAATCATCCCTCATGGGCTTCTCCTGTTGAATTCTCTTCGCTTATCTCCTGACACGGGGTAATCCTATATCGCGAAGTCATTTGTACCATCGTCTTGGCTATCGATTGAGCGAGCAATGCCTGTGAATTGCGAGGGTCGGGATTCTGGAATAGTTGTTGAGCAATGTTCTTATGGCTTGAGAGCAGAAAGCTGCGAAAAGCTGAATTCGAATGAAGGACAGCAGAAGGGTGAAGAGATCACTCCGGACTCATGTTCTATGTGTTTACTGTATTGCAGAACTAGAGACTCCTGACTTCGGATCGTGGTGGGGCGCCTTCCATCGAAGACAGCGGCCAACGACGCTTGGCGGCTTCTCAATCCTGATGAGTCCTCGATACTCGTTGGAGACTTCAAACATTCAAAGCGACCTGTGAGAATCTTGACAGTATCAAAAATGAGCTTCTGTACGAATCGGTCACCTGTACTTGCAAGATTGAGAAGTCATCGATGGGGGTCGACAGCGGCGACGTCATGTTGACGAAGCACGCAAGTTCCGACCACCCTCCTTCAGGACTAAGGGAACTCCGGGCTGTATGATTCGGAATTCCAATTTCTTCGTCAGAGCTATGGAGGCCTTCGGCTCGGAATCCCCCAGAGGGACGCTCCTCGCCTATCGCCCTTTTCTCCGGGAGAACGAAATGTCAACCGAGATCCTCTCATCGCACGAGCTGCGAGATACCCATGGCTCGGTAATTGACCTTGAGCTCGGAGCTCACAGCTGCAGAATGTGAGGCAACGGATGCCTTGATCTCGCTCTAACAATGGCTGACTGACCGAGATTGGTGAACTCGGAGCATGCGGTAATCCATCAGATCGAGCAGCGTTCGGTAATTCGGGTCAGGAGTGTCGGACGGGAGCGCGATTGTTCACCCGGCGGTAATCATACACAGGGCGATCAGAGGAGTTATTCCAGTGAGAGCCCGGATGAAGTAAAATTCTCCTACCCAATTGTCACGCAGCCACGGATTGGAAATTCTGCTCTTCATAACCGTGCCTCGGTACCGTGAGGCTTCCCAGCAAATAGGAAGGAGAAGCCGAGAGAAGGTTCGAGCTCGTTCATTACTTTCGAAGACAGCTGACAAAGAAGCAGGAAGTTGACGGGGAAATGAGTCCTTAACGAAAACCTGAGCTCAGTCGGGAAATTGCATGTTCGGGGGTCGGAGAGGAAGCGAGAAGGAATTGTTTATCGACAATGACACTAACTCCCGGCTCGAGTCCTAGAGCCGATTTCCGCCCTCCTTCTACCAACCTGCCTGAGAAACAGGTGGCGAAGAAGAAAAGTGAGGGGACGAAGTGAGACCAGGAATGTCGCCATTTCGGTCACGCTCCGATATTCTGGAGTCGTTGAAGTCAAGCTAGCAGAGTCATTGAGGTCAAGTAAGGATTGGTCTCGACTCGACCAGAGTGCTGGCAGGAAGATTTTCAGAGACCTGGCTACCCCTCATCGTTGAATAAGGGTTTTCAGGGGACTCTCTCTCCGATGGTGGACCCTTGTAGTGTCATGGCAGACTCGAACAATTCGCAGAGTCCGCGCGCTTGTCGCTCACACCACGCTCCGATCGCTCGCCGGAAATGAAACATGTGTATGTATCCCCCGTCCTGGGTAGCTCCTGTGGAGATTTCCGCACGCAGTACTGGGATCATGAGAGGCAGGGCGACAAGCACCTCGCTCAGGCGGGTCTTCCCAAGGTCTGCCACATTTTCTTCCGGACGCGGGACCTCGGAACTCAATAGAAAATGCGGATAAGCCTGCGATGGGAATCCTCAGATCTCCTTCCATCACTGTGTGGCGAGCATGGGGTCGGTCTGCGGATTTCAGCCTAAATTATTCATTTAGCGCAGCTCGATTGACTGATATAAATGAGCTACGCTGCATCAGCTAGGATTGCTCGACTTTCAAGAGAAGGGACTCCTGGATGGTAAGAGCGTTTACCCCATCGTCAGGGGTGTCGATCGTAGGCAAAAGATCCGTTGAATTAGCGGATCGTAATAATTTCGAATATTTGACTTGGGGCGCAGAGATTCCCGTCAAAGTCTGCAGATCCTTGGTCGATATCGAAAAGAAATCAATGCATGGGGAATCCAGAGCCCAGAAAGCGTCCATTTTCCAGGTAAGTCGATCTTCGGTCGATAGAGATCTATCATAGAGAGGTACAAGCCAGCCTCGCATTGAAGAAACAAAATCACCCTTTCGAGGAGAGCTTTGAGACGTCGTCATGTCAATACGACAGATGTCGAGAATGATACTAAAAAAGCTCCCCTTATTGGGTTTACCCTCAGCAGCCAGAATATCAGGAGCCAGATTCTCATGAGCCAGAATCTCAAGAGCCAGAATCTCAGGAGTTAGGATTCTGAGGAGCCAGAGTTCTCAGAAGCCAGAACTCTTAGGAGCCAGAATTCTCGGGAGCCAGAAGTCTCAGGAGCCAGAACTCTCCTGAAGCAGTACTCTCAGAAACCTGCATAGTCCTCTATAATTTCAGGCTTCTCCCTTCAGCAAAACGAGAGCTCGACGCTCAGTCAAGTTCGAGGATTACCAATGTCTGGCTAACAAGAAATGTGCCCCGGGACACAAATATGCAAGCTTCGAAACTGCTTTTCTGAGATCCTCGTCTCTTAGAGAATAAACCCGCTGTCCATTCGACAATCCTAGTGACCGAATTTCCTGCCGTGCATCTGCCTGAAAACCGTATCACACCTGCTTTCGCTCCGGAATCTTTCCTCCAGGTCGTTTGTTGTTGAAATTGAAATTTTTTGTGTGATCGGTCCCGAGTGGATTTCACGTAGTTCGTAGTTTTCAAGCGCAGGAATCTGTGTACAACGGCTCTCAAAGAAACATTCTCGATCAAGGGTAAGACCCAATTTTTCGTCAACATTTACCTCTACGAGGTGTAGAAGACGGAAGATGACAAAACGTTATGCTGCCGGTGCGTGAAGCAACGAAGAGAAGGTTGCCCAGCTAGGACAACTGTCACCAGATCCCCCCAAGCTCTCCTGAAGCCGCAGTCCGGCAGACATACCCACTTGCCCGACAGCGGCGGGTTCATAGGGAAGGAAGCCTTAGCTCCTTAGCTCAGATGCAGAACGCGGTCGTGCAAGGAGCTGAAAGAGGCGTCAAGCAAGTTAATGCTGAAGTCCTCGTGGAGACGGTTCGCGAGCTGGAGGCTTCGTTCGGAGATAAGGAATTTGGTGCTGCTCTGCCAACCTATGATTCCGCGACGGCCTCTTTGTATAGAGCCCGAGCAAAGATCATCCCTTCTCTGCCGCAAAGCCGAGCCGAAATCGTCCTCGAGGGACAATTCACCAAAACTCTCAGTGATAAGGATTTACCCCTCATTGATGACGGCACTGAGAATGAAATTCTGGGCTTCAGTACAGAGGATTTGATCGAAATCGTGTGCGACGAACCGACGCTTTTTATGGACGGAGCATTCAGAGTCTTACCCCGACTCTTTCTCCAACTTCACACAATCCATGCTAATTATCGGGGTCAGATGTTCCCTTTGGCATTTTCCCTCCTACCAGATAAGACCAAGGTTACTCACTGCCGACTGCCGGATGTTTCGCTTGCTGAAGCGTCTAGCTCTTGAGAACGGAAGACTCCTCGCACCTCAAATGTTTCAACTAGACTTCAAGGTTGCTGCGCTGAACGCTATTCAAGCGGAAATCCCTTCGACGCAGATCAAAGGCTGCAACTTATATTTCGGCCAGTGCCTCTCTCTGAAGTTCCAGAACCTGGGTCCCGTGCAGTTCTACGGCGACTCGGAGGTGAAGCAGTTGTTCCGCTCTTACGGGGCTCTCAGTCTGGTCCCCGTCGACAGAATCGACGAAGCCCTCGCAGACATCGAGGTGGAATCACCGTCAGCTGAGCACTCGGCTTCGACGCAGATCGAAGCATTCAAGGAATACTTCAGAAGAACTCGGCTCGAGAATGAATCAGTGTTTCCACGAGTTAGGTGGAATCACTATGGAAACTTTGGCGCGAGGACAACAAATCATGTAGAAGGTTGGCCCAGTGCCTTGGCGAAGATGATCCGTAAAGGCCACGTGAACTTCTCCGAAATGATCAAGTTTCTGAAGAAAGAAGAAGCCAGTGGGAAAGCCTCGAGACTCTTGCTTCGAGCTGGGCAGCCCCCGAAGAGGCTGGCGTCATCTCGAAATATAATTATCTGAAATATTAGGAAAAATGTTATGATTCGGGGAGGATCCTGGTTTTCGCTCGCAATCAGGGACAGGCCTATTCTCGGCTCGGAGAATCCAGGCTCCTGAGATTTCTGGCTTCTGAGATTCAGGCTACTGGAATTCTGGCTCCTGATATTCTGGCCTCGAAGATTCTGGCTTCTGAGAATCTGGCACCTGGGGCGATGCCTCTCATCTCTTATTGAAGCCTCGTCGAAGCACCCAATACATGAGCTCCCTTCCGATTCCTTTCTTCGGGGATAGACCTGATCTTGAAGTTGGGATAATGCATTGCTCCCTATCACGTGATCCCAAATTCTCAGCGGGGATCGCTTTTCAGTCGAGGGAATCCGGGACCACACAGAAATTGGCGCCTCCGTAATGTCATGGGTGTCGATCGAAAGAGTAATGGCTGAGGATTCTCAAGATCGAAGCTGGAGGACTATCCACGGAATCTCCAGATCTTCCGAAGAATGATTGGCGGGTTCAGAAATCTGAATGGGAGTCCTGTGCTCTTCAGAGGAGCTCGATCTCCTGAGGACAATCGAGGGGGATATCTACGGAAACCTTGATTCGAGAGAGGCCGGAAATAATTGAGGGATTTTCTTTCGAATTCTGGCTCTAAATGCAAGTCTGAAACGAAATTCAAGACCCTCGATTTTGGATCGAAGGAGGTTCATTTCAACACGCAGGGTTCCGGACGCGATCAGTACTTAGAGCGAGCATCTCGGCTCGGACCCATCCTCGTTCGTCCTCGACAGGAATTCCGATCTGGTTTCCGAATTAGGCTGATTGCTCCGGGTGAGGGTCGAGAGAGAAGCCCGTCACTCGGAGAATTCGCTGTGAGGTTCGTGCATTGTCTCAGTCTCACCCTCCCGGAATTCTGGCCATGGAACTCGAGTATCGGAGAGGATGCGCGGAAGAAGCGCCTCGTCCACCATATATAAGTCGACGACGCTTGTAGACAGCATCAGTTGTTTGTTAGATCGATCTCATCCAAGACAATGGCTAACGCTGGCGAGCGACCGACTTCTCCGCTGCTTTCGGAAGAGTATGCCCAACGTGGTCTTCCGGAGGAGGTGGACATCGAGAAGACCTGGAACCTCGATTTCTGGGTCCCCTCATTCGAAATTCCTTTTATGGCGCCTGGGCCAAGGCGGATTCCGTTTTTGAGGTCTGCGAAGAAATGTCCGCTTCGTCACCGTTTAGAGGAGCTTCGAGAAGACCCACACGGTGCCAACCTCAGGTTCAGGCCCAGGAAGGCGCGTCAAAGACGGGAAATCGAACTCATCCCTGTCTCAGAGCTTGATTTCTGCCCGTTCTGCCGCAAGAACGGGGAGCCGCCTGAGGTCTTCGAGTCGCACCGGTTGAAGGATCCCAACGACATAACCACCTGCCCGAAACTCAGAGCTTATCGTTGTCGCATCTGCCACAACGGAGGTGGCGATTTCGCCCATACGATGCGTTACTGTCCGAAGCTGGCAAAACCGAAGCAGCCGCAGAATTTCCATCAAAAAAGGCCGCAGTGAGGACGGGGGCGGTTGCGGCTTCGGAAGAACGAGTTCGCGTACTGCGATGTGAAAACATAGGTACCTAGATGGAGGGAGCAAGTACAGCTCAATCAGAACCATACTCGTAT